TGCGGGGCCGAGGTGATCGTGAGGGCGGCAGGGGGAAGCGAGCGGGCCCGAGTGAGCGCGCGGGGCCGCGGGAGGATGTGCAGGGGCCGGGGCGAGTGTGTGCGGCCAGGGCGTCTCCGGGCCCGCGGGGCCGCCGGAGGGGGGAACGGGTCCCGGATGGCGGATGCGATGAGGCCCGAAGGCCTTTCCATGGCTTGCGGGAGGGCGGACGGGCGGGAATCGCGGAGGGAGTGCGGCCTGCGCTGCTCTCTGGGGACGCTAGTGGGTGGGAAGCGGTCAGGGCCGGACAGAGAGGACCCCCGCCCCAAGCTCGGCTGAGGCCCAGGGGGAACGGACGTTGCGTGGATGGATAAGGGATTTTCCCCCGGCCTGGCGCGCCGGGTGGATGCGCCAGGGATGGGTCCTAGAGGGAGAGTCCCTTCTTTCCTTCTGGGAAAGGGTCGAGCCGTAGCTTGGCAGGGAAGATGGGGGCACGTAGGGAGCCTAGAGCCCGAGAGCTGGGGGTATGGGTTTGGGGGGCAGCCTTTGCTGGGTGAAGACCAGCTCAAGGCCCTCAGTCGGAACAGGGCTTTTTCTCTCGCCTTCCTGGGGTCCACCCTCTCCCGCTCCAGTGACACCTTCCCCCCAAACTCCTATGCTGGCTCCTTCGGTCTATATTGGGGTGATTAATTACATATCTTCTTCCACACACACACCCCACTCGCCTGTCGCCCAAAGCCCATGGCCCCTCTCAAACACCCCTCCCCCCCAATTCCTGGCCCTCTTCCCAGAGGTTCCACCCCGTTCCGACTGATGCTCTCCAGCCAGCCTCGGCCTAGCTGGGTCAGCAGCCCCCTCCAGTCTCCTTGGTCAGTGAAACATCTCTTCAACCTCAGCCCCGACATTTTTCCTCTACAAGAGCATTTCGGATACGTTGCTGGAACACCTCCCCTAAGTACTAACGCTGCCTCACCCCTTCCCCCATCCTCCTGCCCCATTGGGCCTTTAAGTAGAAGCAACTTGCACAGTGTCTGCTCAGTCTAGTACATTCTCCAAAAATGTTACAGGATCTATATTTAGAATCCTATGGAGCAGTGATTTCCTGCCTTCTGTCGTGAGGGACCCCTTGGAAAATATGCTAGAAAGCGTGAATTCCCCTCCCAGAAGTCTGACCATCAGCAGACTCGGAGAGAATGGGCTCCTGTTTCAGGAGGCTCCAGGCTGGAAACCCTGTGTGATGAGAGCTAGAGATGAAGGAACCTCCAGATTCCAGGCAGGGCCAGTGCTAAGGAGGTGCAGCTCCCGGCGTGTTTGTTGAAAAATGCGTATTCCTTGGCCCCATGCAGACCTGCTACTCTGCCACTTGAGTTCTGAGTGAACTCCAGCCAGGTTTCTAACGCAGTGATCGAGCCATTGCCATAACTTGTCTGGGCTCCTTGGGTGACCTGCAGCAGCTCCTTGGGATTTGCCTAGCATCCCACCCCAGCCCCAATTTCAAATCTTTTCTGTCCAGGCAGTGTAACCTAAACAAAGCTATACTTACAGTTTATTTTGATTCTTGTAAGATGCCATGCGTCTTCTTGGGGAAATGGGAACATAAACCTTTCCTCGATTAAGTACAACAAACACTACAAAATCCCCTTCTGGTCTACCTTCTGGCTTTTTATAGAAGGGAGAGAAGATGGAAACCTAAACAGAGAGACAGGTGCCCAGGCAAAGTGAGAGAGGAAACAGATGCCTTCCCACCCCCACACACAGAAAAAGACACACACAGACACAAATATCCCAAGAGAAACAGACTTTCCTGGTGAGACACCCTCTCTTTTGGCCCTTTAGGAATCTGCTACTTCAAGTAGCAGCCTGTGCGCACAGTACAGGGTGGGCCCAAATGGGGCCCTCATTTGCACCTCCTGGCCCGCCAGGCAGAGGGAACGGAAAGGCCAGGACCAGCTTGGCCCAGCGGCTTAGCTGGGACAGAGCAGGGTCTCGGCAGTGTGTGTTCAGTCTCACAGCATGTCCTTCAGTTGAGAACTCACTGCACAAGAAGACAGGTTCCTAGAAGGTGCACACGTGTCTGCTTCTGTTTACCCGAATTATTTCAATCCAACAGGTGGGACCTTGCCTGCCGACTAATAGCTTGGAATTCTGTCTGATTCTGTGACACGATGAGTCATCCCTGTGTGTCTCTTTTGGGTAAGTCTGGATGTTTATAGACTACGTCTGCTGGCTTTAAAGCTGGCCGTGCCGTTCGAAGGCCCCCTGGCTAGGGGTAGAAGATGTTGAGGAGGATCGTTTCAGTTCCAGAAGTACTTATATTTTCATGTACTCCAATGGTATTGAAGTGTCTTTGTCCAGAGACAGTCAGTTCTCTCAATGCAAGCAACACAACTCAGGGGTAAAAAGACATCCAGTGAAGAGAACTGGGAATGCAGGTGATCATTCGGATGGGAGACGGAGCTAAAGGCACCCATCTGAATTAGATCTCTTGTGAGTGGGAATCTATAAAGACACCCTTTGAGGCATATTTGCTGTGGCCCAGAGCTGAACTGAGCACCATAAGCCACCTGTTGTCTTCTGGGTAAACTCAAGCTTCAGGGCCTAAGGACATTCTGTTACAGATCCTTATTTCGATGTTTGAGGGAGTCCAGGAGTTTCTAGCACCACTTGGAAACTTCTGGAAGCTGCCGGACGAGTCTTATTTAGGTTGCCTTGCTGCCCCCACTGCCCAGGGAAGGACAGCACGTGTCCGAGGGGTTGTGTGGCTATTTATGCAGTGGAATCAGTTGAATACTGATTTTTTAGGCTCAGAAGCTACCTTTACTTGTAGCCGGACATCCTCAGGGGGATCCAAAGCTCAAAGGTGACCAGAAGACACCTAATTATTCACCAATTGTTGTGATATGGGTTGGTTTTGTCAACTATTGATTTCTGTTCTTTCAGATCAAAGTGAAATGATTATTTTGGGTTTCTTAGTGTTTCTGATTCCACGCAGCAAATTTGATTTATATAAATTGGTTAAAATTTACATTGTGATCTAAAGCACATAGCAGAAAGATTTATACACTCACATGAGCTCTCATGTTCTAGAAAGCATAATTTTTCAAATTGTCAGGCAGTAGGTTAACATTGACATCATTATTTTCCATGTATTCTTGCAGCAGATGTTGGTTAAATAGCTGCGGCGTACGTGGCTTTTGACTAGGTCCAGTGTGGAATCAGCAGTTGACCTTGACAGGGCCTTTTGCTCTCTGGGAGTTTATAGTCTTTGGACTGTCTTCAGATCCCACTTAAACAAGGAGGGTAATATTATTTACATTAGGAGTTGGAGATTTGTTTTTCCATGATTCTCTAAGCTTCCATTTCCTGGTTGTATGTAGGAGTGCACCTTACGAGATGTGAGGTGTGCTTCCCTGCCGTGAGTGAAAGTGCCTTGTGTTCAAGGTCACCATTGCCCTCCATGTCCATCAGGTGCACTACAATGCTTTTATGTTCTGTCTGGAATTGCTTAGACCTTGATCCCCTAAGAACCACTTTTGGAAGACTGTGGACACCTACATTTGTCATTTTTGTCACAGCATCCAGCTGCTTTTTCAGATCAGTTCCACCATTTTAAAGTAGAACAGTTGTGGAACATGGATACTAAATGATCCGCTTGTCTCCATGATTGATAATAATTTTTTTTTTAAGTGCAGTAGGGATTAATGTGTTATCTTTTTTTTTTTTTTTAACAATCTTCCTTTGCTTCTCCTGAAGCTCTTTTACCTGATACACTTGGTTAATTATGCAGAGTTTATAGCTTCCCTTTGTGAAAGCAGAACGTGCCTTCCCTCCTGTTTTTATGAGCACCTTCTAAATGATCCCTGTATGTCCATGAGCTCTGTTACAGTGGGTGGTGATCACACAGCCACTGTGAGCTGGAGAGCACTCCCCTGGGTGAGCTGGTCCAGGAAGGGCCACTCCTGTTGCTACACTGGAAATGATAATTAACAATTCATTTGGGGGTTGTGGCTCCAGAACTTCAATGGTTAATCATGCCAATTAAGTAAAAACACTTTGATAGGATTCACTCAATTAAATGGAATACTTCAGGAGGATTTGCTCAATTAAACGTCGGTGGCTTGGAAGAAGTGTGAGTGTGTGTGTGTGAGAGAGAAAGAGAAACAGAAACAGAGAATAACGTGTGTGTCCACTGCTCAGTGAGGGTCTGCGATGGCATGTTAATGGGATGATTTAAAGGCAGCCCCCAAACACCCATATATGCCACCAGGCATAGACGGTGCTCACACCAGCCTGTCTTCTGAATACGGCCTGCTGTTACAGGGTTGCACGTTATTTCTCTCTTCTCTGTTCTGGTTCAGAAAATCTCAATTCTTGGGAGATGGACGTTAAGCAAGTTACTTAACCTCTGGGATCCATTTCTTCTATGTAAAATGGAGGCAGTAATAACCATAGGTTGCAATAATTGAATTAAATCACGTGAAGGGAGACACACTGCTCCAAACTTGTGTAGTAAGTGCCCCATAAATGGAAGCTCGCTCCATTAACGTGCCCTTCCCCACACACATTGATTCAGTCACCCCACAGTTTATCGCATGCCCACTCAGTGCCAGGAGCTACTGCAGTGTAGACACGGGGGATGCAGGAGTGACTAAGAAAGAGAAAGTCTCTGTCCTGTTGGAGCTGACATTTCTCCTGGGGAGAGTCAGGAAATTTCATAGGACAGTTTTTAGTGAAAGTGTTTTGAGTAAACCACGATGGGACTGGAGAGTGAACACGTTTTGAGAAGGTACCATTTGGGTTGAGGCCTGACTTCTTAGAAGGTGCTGCCTATGATAAGCTGTAGGGATGGTATTCTCAGCGGGGTCAGAGCCTTGAGGGCTACGATCTTGGTACAGTTGGGACTGAATGAAGGCCACTGTGTCTGAGTGATTGAGGTGCAGGGGGCAGGATATGGGATTGGTGGGCTGGGCCAGGGTTTTGAAGGGGGTTAAAGCCTTGGATCTGTGGCCTGAGGGCAGTGAGAAAAGGTCTGTAGCAGGTCATCATTCTCAGGAGGTGCATGCATCACACCCCACCATCCATTCCCCTCGGCAGCCAAATGTCAGTGTCCACTGGAAGTGAATTTTTAAAAAATAAATTGTAGGGCCGGCCCAGTGGCGCACTGCTACAGTGCGCCGCTTGGGAAGCACAGCAGCGCTCCCGCCGAGGGTTCGGATCCCACATACAGACCAGCCGCTCACTGGCTGAGCGAGGTGCGGGAGCAACACCGAGGGTTGCGATCCCGTAGCCGGTCCCGGTCCGGTACGGGTGCGACACTGAGGGTTGCGATCCATTGCCGGTCACGAAGAAAGACAAAAAAGGAAAAAAATAATAATAATAATAAATAAATAAATTGTGTAAGTAGTTCATAGCCAGTTCATTTTGTATTGGAAGCCAAAGTCAAACCAGACATCAAATGTATACCATGAAGAATCCAACAGGCCAGTGAGGCCCTTCCCAGGTGACATTGGGACTGTCAAAGAGGGCTTGGCTGCTGAGCACCTGCGGATTAACTCATAGGGTAGAGAAGCACCCGTGCGGGACAGCCAGTTAAAGGTGGCAATAGGGTTTCCATGGACTTTGAGGCCACATGAGGCCTTCTGCCCACACCCGTCTGTGGTGCTGACAGCTTAGGGAGTGAGCCCAGTAAGTCATGGCTCCGTGAGCCTGTCTCTCAGCTTTCTGGTGGCCTTCGCCCGGCCTTTGTGGACTGCCTGCACACTCCTGCCAGCCCTCCCCCTGTGCTTGCCTTGCCCGTGTGGACATCCCAGGAAGGGCTGGTCTTCTGACCCAGCCTCAAGGGCTGCTCCCCACTTCTCCTTGGCCTCAGCCCTTGTCCTTCTGCATGCTGAGCATCATTTGAGCCAAAGTCTACCAAAATCTTTTAAAATCATCGTTCTTTTCTGATACCAAACAAATTCAGCTTGGTTACTAAAACTTTATGAATTACAGAAACAGAAAGTGGAACTTTTAGACCTCGACTCTTCCCCCTGTGTGGTCACACACCCACTGAAGTAGAGGTGTGCTTCTCCTAGCTACAAGTCACTCGCAGTTTTCTCCTTTTTCCTCCTAAAATGCAAATATATACTTAGCCATCTTCTCCCCTGCCCTTACCCTCTTTGGGTTTTCAATCAGGAGGTATTATGTCTGCATGAATCCTCTGTGAAGGATTCACATTTTTGTTATCTGCTGCACATCATCCTACATGGACCACTTGTTGATTTTATATTTAAACCCTCCAGTTTTCTTCCTGTTCTGAGTTCCAGGACTTTTCGATGGTGTTTCTACAGCTCTGACCCACATTCATTGTCATCACCCCCACCCCCTGCTTTTTTTAATGACATTGGGATTATTTAGACTCTTTCTGTCAGTTATAGTATATTGTTTTCCAACCTTTTACTTTGCATCTATCTGTGTCTTTATATTTAAAGTTTGTTTTAGACAGCATATACTTGAGTCTTTTTTTTTTTTAATACAGCCTGGCAATCTCTGCCTTTTGACTGGAGAGTTTAGTCCATTTACATTTAACTTAATTATCCATGTGGTTAGGTTTAAGTTTGACATTTCCTATTTGTTTTTATTTCTCCCATCTGTTCTCTTTTTTTCTTTACCTTTTCTTTGGATTATTTTTTAATATTGTATTTTACCACCACTATAGTCTTAGCAGCATGCATTAGAGTCTTGGAGGACTTGCGTAAACACACAATCATAAGTTTTACTTCTCCATATGTTATAAACCCCATACTACCTTATTATTTTTGCTTTAACCAGTCAATTATTTTTTAAAGATTTAAAAATAAGGGGGGAGGAGCTGGCCCGTGGCTCACTCGGGAGAGTGCGGTGCTGATAAAAATAAGGGGGGAAAAGTGTTTTATATTTCCCCACATATTTACATTCCTGCTGTTCTTCATGCCTTGATGTAGATCCAAGTTTCTGTCTGATATCGTTTTCCTTCCCCATAGAAAACTTCCTTTAGTATTTCTTATAGTACAGACCTGCTGGTAATGAATATGAGCTTTTGTCTGGAAAAATTTTATCTTGCTTTTATTTTTGAAGAACATTTTCCCTGAATATACATAGTTGGTTTTTGTTTTTTGGGGTTTTTTTTCTTTTAGCACTTTAAAAATGTCATTCAGTTGTTTTCTGGCTTGCATATTTTCTGATAAGTCAGCAACTGCTCTTATCTTTGTTCCTCTGTAGGCAGCATCATTTCTCTCCTCTGGCTACTTTGAGATTTTCTCTTTATCACTGATATTCAGCAATTTGATTATAATGTGTCTTTTTAAGTCTTGCTAGGATTTGGTTGGGCTTCTTCGATCTGTAAGTTTATAGTTTTCACTGAACTTGAGAATTTTTTCAGCCATTATTTTTCAACTATATATATTTTTTTGTCACTCATCTCCCCTTTCCTCACCATCTCAGATTCCATTTACATGGGTGTGAGAACACTACATTATCCCCAGGTCACTGAGCTACTGTTTGTTTTTAAAAACTTTTTTTCTCTCTGAGTTTCAGTTGACATAGTTTCTATTGCTATGTCTTCAAGTTCTCTACTCTTTTTTTTTTTCTGCAGTGTCTAATCTGCTGTTAATCACATCCACTGAAACTTTCATTTTAAATATTACAGTTTTCATCCCCAGAAATTTCCATTTGGTTCTTTTTGTATCTCCTATTTCGCATTATGTTCCTCTTTTTCTTTCAACACTTGTACATAGATAAACTACCTGTTTTCTTTGTCTGTGAGTTCTATCATCATCATTTCTGGGTATTTCTACTACTTATTCTCCTTGCCACAGGTCACATTTTTGTGCTTGTTGACATTTTGGTAATTTTGAGTTGGATATTGGACATCGTAAAGATTATGTTGTTGAATGTCTGGATTTGGGGAAGTAGTTATTTGTGGGTGAGCTTGATCCCTTTTTTTTTTTTTTTTTTTTTTTGACCAGTAAGGGGGTTGCAACCCACGGTGTTGTCTTCGCCATGCTCAGCCAGTGAGCGCACCGGCCATCCCTATATAGGATCTGAACCCGAGGTCTCAGTCACTACCAGTGCCGCACTCTCCTGAGTGAGCCATGGGGCCGGCCCTTGATCCCTTTTTTTAAAGGCAGGTCTTGTGTAGCTTTGGCTTGAGGGATAGATCAGCCCTACTACTAAGGCATTGCCCCTCTGGATTCTCTACTGACTGTCCTAGGTGATCACAGAGGACCCTCTCTGCTGGTTGGTCAGTCTTGAACATCTCCCTACCTTTGTGTGTCCTGGGAATTGTTCAGCTTACAGCTTGCTGGTCATTCTTTTCCCAGCCTTTTGTTTTACTCTATGCATGCATGGCTTAGCAGTCAGGAAAGATTCAAGGGGAGCCTTGTGTAGATTTTTTGAAACTCTTTTTTCTGCGTAGCTCACTCCTTTCTGGAACTCTGCTCTGCAACTTCCAGCTGCCTTAGCTTCCCTGAATGCTGGTTTGTGTCTCTTCAACTTGGCAAAGCTACTCAGCTCTGTTTAGTTCCCTGCTTCCTATACTCTCAATCTAGAAATTGCCTCCACACAGAGAGCTGGGGTGATGATAGGGCTTACTTCATTTGGTTCTCTTCTCTCAGGGATCGTGATCTTGTGCTTCCTACTGTCCAGTGTCTGAAAACACTTGTTTCACATGTATTTTCTCCAGTTTTCTACTTGTTTACAGCAGGATGTGAAATCTGTTCCTTGGGGCCGCCCCCTGGCTCACTCGGGAGAATGTGTTGCTGATAACACCAAGGCCACGGGTTTGGATCCCTATATAGGGATGGCTGGTTAGCTCACTTGGGAGAGCATGGTGCTGACAACACCAAGTCAAGGGTTAAGATCCCCTTACTGGTCATCTTTTAAAAAAAAAAAAAAGAAGAAAGAAATCTGTTCCTTGTTACGCCATGATAGCCGTCAGTGGAAGTTTCTGTCCATCCTTTTTAACGTAGCATCTTTAATTTTATGTAAAAGTCTTTCTGCAGTATCTGGGTTTTGTAGTCCTTGAGCTAGTGTAAAAAATGCTATCTCTTTATTTAATTATGCATTGAATTGAACTGACCTCAGAACAGGAACTGTGCAACTATTTCTTTGAACTCACTGAAGTGGGAGGCCCGTGATGCACAGTTGTCTGTCATAGGATCTTTAATCTTTTTTAATATTTTATTTTATTCTTAAATACCCACAATTCTTACCAGTGGGGTGTGTGTGCCTGTCAAGCACTGCACAGTATCTTTTTTTTTTTTTTTTTTTTTTGCAGCTGGCTGTTACGCGGGGATCTGAACCCGTGACCTCAGTGTTATAAGGCTGTGCTCTAACCAGCTGAGCTAACTGGCCAGCCCTGTGGTAGAATCTTATAATATTTCACATACTTTGGAATTTGGAAGAAAAAGGAAACTCGTACGTACTGTTCAGATCTTTTTTTTTTTTTTTTTTTTAGCAACTAAGTGTTTGAAGATCTTTGAGGCTTAGTTTTGCAGCTGTTTTATTCAACTTTTCGTTTTGTTGAATGTGTGAGAGAAACATTCTCAGCCACAACCATCTTGCTGTCACCGGGCACATTGTTTCAGGAGGCTGTGGCTTTTAGGGGCTGCACTGGTGGTCAGGAAGCCCCGGCTCCTGCTTTTCATTGCCTCTTCCCTCCAGTGGCCTGATCTGGTTTTTTTGTTGCCTTTGCAAAATTGGAAAGGATCTGTCATTTCTAGTGATTTATTCCGATAGTCCTGTTGGTGCGCTTCCTCTCTGCGCAGTGTGAGCACTGACCTCTGTGAGGCTGGCTGCGTGGAAGCTTGTGGCCAGGGTCCCTGCCACTGGCGGCTCTCTGTCCCTGTCTATCTTCTCCTGGCTATGCCGGGGCTGGCATTTATTTGTCTTGTCTTGGCTCCCTGTGGCCTGCCTGTGTGAATTCTTTGCCAGCCCACTCTCCCCACTGTTTGAGGCACATTTTCTCAGGTATATCCATGCTGTGGCTTGTCACTCAGCCAGCACAGAAGAGAGCACACTCGAGAGGATTTAAACCAGGGAAAAGGAAGTCGCCAGTCTCATCCCAGGGGACCCAGAGACACAGCTGTTGTCACTCATGGCTTTTTTCACTTTCCTTAGCTCCACCTGCTCCCCAAGGGCTTGCCCTTCCCCAGGATGGAGCCCCGGGAAACCAGGTCCTGGCAGTCCCTCTTGAGATGCCGGAGGCCCAGGTGAGCCGTGCTTCCCTCTGCCTTGCTTGGGATTCTGTCACTGCTCCCTGATTCTGGCCTCGGCCTCTGCCTCTTGCCCAGCATGACACGTGGCAGGTGTGGACCCCGGCTGCTGCCTTCCCACTCTCCCTCTACTGCTCTCCTGGAGGCGGCCAAGGAATGGATGCCCACTGGGCCTGTCCTTCCGGTCGTATAGGTGGGGGAGCTGAGTGTCCGTCCAGGAAAGTGATTGGACTGAGTTCCCTTGGGAAGACAATGGGAGGCCAGGGCTGCGGCCCAGGTCTCCTGGCACTTGGTCAGGTTCTCTTTCCAGGACTTCTTGGGGCTTGTGGTTAGATCTCCATGTTAGCAGCACACACCTGCTCCAGACCCTCACCTCTTGTCCCGGTGTTACTGGCGCTGCCCCTGCCTCATTCTAGAAGGAAAGACTGATTATCCTTGGGAATTCTTTCAGGATTTGGTGACATTTGATGATGTGGCATGGTACCTCACCAAAAGGGAGTGGTTGAGGCTGGACCCTGAGCAGAGGGCGCTGGCGTATTACGGGAATGTGACCTCCATGGGTAAGGACACTGCTAGCCTTTCCGCAGATTCTCCACCTGCTGGGAGTCGGGTGGGGCACATGGCTACCCCCACACAAGCTCGCCTTGTCCCTGCGTTGTAGGGAAATACAAAGGGTCTGCCACACCCGACATCCCAGAGCTGTCCTCACGGCACAGGAAGAATCGCCCGCCTGCCTCGGTCTTTGACTGGGAAAGAAACTGGAACAAACTTGCCATTGTAATTTAGAATACTTTTTCTAACCCACAGATTAGACAAATTGCATGGCCATTCAATCTGAGTTTGCTGTTGAGAGGAGTTGGCATGATCAAGCTCTTGTCCACCCCTCGGGGTCTGCATGTGTAGAGCGCAAAGGGTTTTCTAGGAGGAGAGACTGTTGGGAGTGTAGAGGTCCCAGTCTGGGAAGAGCATGAAGGTCAATGTGTGGGCACTGAGGGGTGGACAGGGAGGAAGGGGTGAGGCGCAACTTCTCAGGATGGCCACCTGGCCCACCAGCACAGCCTCGGGTGCACGCAGAGCCTGCCTTCCTTGGGAGATGCATTTGAACTGAATGAATGACTTGCCTAAGGTCATAGCCAGCGCAGTCTTTGAGGACTGAGAAGGCTTCCCCTTTGGATACCTTGCCCCGTTCCTCCACAGTTTTCATGTCATCTCTGGCTGCCACTGTAACCCATTTCTTTTCCACAAGCAGGAGTTCCTGTTTTGAATCCTGCCTTGGTCTCTCACCTGGCGCAGGGACAAGTGCTGTCGGTATCAGACCCATCCCTCAACACAGATCGAGCTCAGCACTCCGGTGAGTGAAAAAGAAACGTAAAGCAATGTGAGGAAATGGGGAGGAGGCCCAGCTGAGCTGCCCTGGGATCCAGGTTAGGGCTGGGGGTCCGGCTGAGCCCTTAGGGAGGGGCGTGGCTGCTCGCAGTCCCAGAAGGGGAAGCCTCCTCAGGTCCACCTTGGTAGGGCATGGCCAGAAGTTGGGTTTTTCTGCCCTTTCCTGCTGTGGTCACTGGTCCTGGCGCCTTCCAGGCCTGGGCCAGCAGCTCAGCAGCTGCCTTAGGAGGAAAGGGATTCTGGACAAAGGAGAGTAACCTCCTTTCCCCCCTCTGCAGACCGCAATGTCTTGTGTTTATCGTTTCAGAAAGCACCTCGCTGACCCAGCACCAGGTGATGGGGGAAGACGGCCAGCCACAGGAGATGGCCTCCACGAGCTCCCCGAGGGCCAGCGACCCCAGCGCTGAGGTCAAACAGAACGGGGACACGGCGGGGAGGGGAGGGGGCCCACAGAGTCTGCCCATGAAACATCACTTTGCGTGCAAAGAGTGTGGGGACACCTTTCGGCTCAAAGTGCTGCTTGTTCAGCACCAGAGAGTCCACAGTAAGGAAAAGGGCTGGGAGTGCGGCGACTGCGGGAAGGTCTTCAGGGGGGTGGCAGAGTTTAACGAGCACCGGAAGAGCCATGTGGCTGCAGAGCCCCGACCTGGCCCCAGCCGGGCCCTGGAGGATGCCGTGGAGAGGAGGGAGCAAATGGAGAGGGAGGCAAAGCCTTTCGAGTGTGAGGAGTGCGGGAAAAGGTTCAAGAAGAACGCGGGCCTCAGCCAGCACCTGCGGGTCCACAGCAGAGAGAAGCCCTTCGCTTGCGAGGAGTGTGGGCGCTCCTTCAAAGTCGACAGCCACCTCCTGCGCCACCAGAAGCTCCACGTCTCGGAGAAGCCCTTCGCCTGCCGGCCCTGCAGCCGGGAGTTCCTGGACCGCCAGGACCTTCTCAAGCACCAGCGCGTGCACAGTGGCCACCCGCCCTTCGACTGCGACGACTGCGGCAAGTCCTTCCGAGGCGTCAGCGGCCTGGCCGAGCACCAGCGCATCCACAGCGGGGCCAAGCCCTACGGCTGCCCGCACTGCGGCAAGCTGTTCCGGCGCAGCTCAGAGCTCACCAAGCACCGGCGCATCCACACGGGCGAGAAGCCGTACGCGTGCAGCCAGTGCGGCAAGGCGTTCCGCCAGAGCTCCAGCCTGCTGGAGCACGCGCGCATCCACA